TAGTAACAGGGGAAAAGAACAGCCCTGATTGCACCGACAAAATCAACGATGTAGATGATCTTGAATTTGCAACAAATATTGTTCATGGGTCAGAAGTTTTGTCTACTAGTAACAGGGGAAAAGAACGGCCTTGATCACACCGACAAAATCAACGGTGTAGATCATTTTGATTTTATAATGAACATTGTTCATGGGTCAGAGGTTTTGTGTCCTACTAACAGGGGAAAAGAACGGCCCTGATCGCACCGACAAAATCAACGGTGTAGATGATCTCGAATTTGCAACAAATACTATTCATGGGTCAGAAGTTTTGTCTACTAGTAACAAGGGAAAAGAACGACCTTGATCACACCGATAAAATCAACGATGTAGATCATCTTGATTTTGTAATGAACATTGTTCATGGGTAAGAGGTTTTGTGTCCTAGTAATAGGGGAAAAGAACAGCCCTGATCGCACCGACAAAATGAACGGTGTAGATGATTTCAATTTTTCCACAAATACTGTTCATGGGTCAAAAGTTTTGTCTCCTAGTAATAAGGGAAACGAACGACCCTGATCGCACCAACAAAATCAATGGTGTAGATGATCTTGAATTTGCAACAAACATTGTTCATGGGTCAGAAATTTTGTCTCCTAGTAACAGGGGAAACGAATGGCCCTGATCGCACCAACAAAATCAACGGTGTAGATGATCTCGTTTTTAAATAGATGTACTGTTCATGGGTCTATAAATATACCAATGCCATTAAAAATATTTCAACATCCAACTTATTTGTGTTTTGTTTGTTTTGTTATGTGATTTGTTGCATAGCTGCTGTGTTTGTTATTTAGTTTCTGTCAAATTTTGTTTAATTCATGCCTTTCATTTGTGTAGTGTATTACAATGGTATAGTTAACCAAACTACTGAGGGTTGTTCATACATGGGTAGTCATAAAACAATACGTATTAGTCGTGGTATTGATGTTCAATATTTAAAGAATAAAATTCATGCAAAGTTAAATCTTAATGCTAATCAAATTATCTCCAACATAGAATGTAGATATTTACGTTCTCTTGATCCTGTATCATATGAAAGTGTTGATGTATGTGATAATGAAGATCTTGAGTGTATGTTTGATAGCTTTGAGAGACAATATAAAATGAATATAATTGAATTGTATGTTCATGTAGATGTGGTTGTGCCATCTTCAATTCATTTGAATGAAACTCAGGCAACCACTAGTCATCATGACTTCGAACAAACAACATCTTATCCGGCAACTACCATCCCTAATTTACAACCCACAAATATTCCAATCTCCCCACCAAGAAATCATCCTGACTCAAACATTGATTTTGAGACAAACTTGAGTGACAATGATATCAATCTAGGACAAGGTGATGAAGTGAATGATTTGAGTTCATCTGATACAGAGGATGAAGAATATGTCAATGCAAACAACAATGTGAGGGTGCAATCACCATATGAAGTTGAACTTCCCCATCCAACTGAAACAAGTTAATTTCAAGTTCTAATATTTTGATAGTTAATATGGGTACTTAATTAACATTCTTTCTTTTTCCATGTAGGACCCTCAAATAATCCATTTTGGACAGAAACTCCACATTACAGTTATATTGATTTGAGTCATCCTGATCAACAAACTTGGTATCGTGGTTTAGATGTCCCTAATTCTTGGAGAGTTGGCGACGAGCTGTATATTGGGCTTCGTTTTCACACAAAAAATGATGTACAGATGGTTGTTAAACATTATTCTATGAATGCACATCAAACTTTTGTTGTTGTTGAGTCTGGCCAAAGAGTTTTGTCTGTCAAATGCCCTAACAGCAATGAAGGTTGTCCTTGGAAACTAAGGGCAATTTTGTCTAGTAAATTGAACAACAAATGGGTCATCAAGAAATGGGGCGGGAGACACACATGTATTAACCCGATGCTATCTCAAGATCACAACAAATTGGACTCTGAGTTCATATGTTGTTGTATATTAGGTAAGTGCATATTTAACTTTGCACTTAAAATTTATCATATCACTTATTCTAACATGGTTAACATTTATTTGTAGGTATGGTTAGGGAAGATGCTTCTGTTTCGATTTCTCTCATTCAAGAAAGAATTAGTGGACAATTCAACTATAAGGTGTCGTATCGAAAGGCATGGAAAGCTAAACAAAAGGCAATTGAGAGGGTTTATGGTGACTGGAGTGACTCATATGATCTTCTACCAAGGTGGTTGGACAGGATGGTTGAATGTTATCCTGGGTCTGTGTATAAACTTGAAACATTGAGTATGTGTCAAACAATATAGTGGATCCAAATTTCCGTCAATTTCGTCGAGTCTTTTGGACATTTAAACCAGCATGTGATGCCTTCAACTACACTAAACCCATTATACAAATAGATGGGACATTTTTGTATGGAAAGTACCGAGGCACACTACTGATCGCTATGACACAAGATGGAAATGCTCGTGTGTTACCACTTGCATTTGCAATAGTAGAAGGAGAAACATTAAGCGATTGGTCATGGTTTTTGTCTAACATTCGTCGCTATGTTACGAGAAAACAAGGTATTTGTTTAATAAGTGATCGACACCAAAGCATCAAGTCAGCAGTGGAAAATGCCCAAGGGTGGCAACCACCTCAAGCATATCATGTATATTGCATTCGACACATCGCTAGCAACTTCAACCACCGATTCAAGAATACTAAACTTAAAGAAGAATTGATTCACATAGGTACTAAAGGAGTTATTGTTTTTTATATGGTCTACTATTCAGTTTAATTTCATAAATATTGATACATAAACTTCATATATGGCAGGGTACACAACCAACAAACATCAATTTCAAAGAATGTTGGAATGGTTCCGTGATGTCAGCCCTGAAATTTGTTGGTGGACTAATGACATTTCCCTTGAAAAATGGGCAATCGCACACGACGAAGAAGGACGTCGATATGGACACATGACAACAAATTTGTCTGAGGCAGTCAATAAAGTCCTTAAGGGTGCATGAAACTTGCCTATAACTGCGTTAGTTAAATGCACATATGCTAGGTTGGTGGAGTACTTTCTTCAAAGATTAGGTCAGGCAAAACGCTGACCTTGCTCTGGGTAAATGTTATTGTCAAAAATTAATGGATTCTATCGAAAAAAATCAAGAACAAGCAACCTCTCATTTCGTTCGCAGGTATGATTATGAGTGTACAAGATTTGAATTTGAAGAAATCTTCAATGCAGTAACACAACGAGGTGGGAAGGTTTTCAATTTTTTTTAACTAAAAAAAATGTGAGTGTGGTGCTTTTCAGGCATATAGATATCCATGTTCACATGCAATAGCAACTTGTGCACACGTTCGTATAGATCCATTAACTTTTGTTGATGCCGCATATACTAACGAATACATCAAAGCGGCATATTCAGGACAATGGTTCCCACTTGGAAGTCATGAAAATATTGAACCTAATAATGGACCTCGTATAGTCCCAGATGAGATAATGATACGTGCAAAGGGACGCCCAAAATCAAGCCGCATTAGAAATGAAATGGATTGGACTGAATCCCAAAGGAGACAACGATGTGGACATTGTAGGCCTGAAGGGCATGATAGAACTAATTGCCCTATGCTGGCTGCAGATGTTATGAATAACTCATGAAAAATTTGTATTTTGCTGTTTATTTAAAGAATAAAATTCATGCAAAGTTAAATCATATGTCAATTGTGGTTCAATTAAACTGTTCTGTTATACAATGAAATAATGACAACAACGTTTATATTAAGTATTACACAATAAAAAAAACAAATTAGTTCTTCAACCTATTCTCCTAATCTCTCGAGCGTGTAACCAAGTTGTCCAGTGGCATATCAACTGTAAAAAAAAATTAATATCAGTGAACTAAACATTTAGGTAAACAAAAAAATTTACAAGGATCAATTATGTTTAAGTACTAACAACTTTTTATTGAAAATACCTATTCATTTCTCTGCATGTGCTGGTCATGGGGACTTAGTATACATTGGCGTTGTCTATGGTGAGCACCACGATTGGGGTTCCTCCAAACTACCTCATCAGCATCTCCCTCAGGGCTTCCAGCTTCCGCTGCTAATGTTGTATTAAGATCATGCCCTAAACCTAGATGTTGGGAAGAAGTACCCCCACCAAAAAATCCTCCTATCGGAACTGAGGCCTGTCCAAATCGATAATCCCAATAATCCATCAAAGGTGCTGATGGAGAGAACATGTGTGGAACATATGGACTAGGTGTAAACTGGGACATACTACCACCCGGCATACTCGGGACATAACCCATTAACGTCGATGCCGGGAAATTAGCTACACCAGATGTTGCTGGTGTGTCAAACCCAAAAGATGTGTCTTGTACACTACCATACACATATTGTGTGACATCTGCATTCGGGGTCAATGTAGTCGGATAATATGTCCCTGTGGGTGGCTCAGTCGGAGGAACTAGCATCTGTAAACCCTGGTGATCAACTCGCCTTCGTCGACGACTTAGCCGCTTTCCTTTTCGTCGACCTGCCCCAATGTGCTCCACCTGAACTGTGTCTGGTTATGCTAATGCTACAGCTGGAGCCGGTGTAAAAGGGAAACTCATCCTGCTCACCTCGTCTCGCAACTACAAGCAGTGGCCGATCCTCTCATGCATCATGGTAAAATCGAAGGAATCCCTATGTTCTTCACTGGTGCCATGATACATGTGCTCCAAAACATTGGTCTACAAATAACATAACAAATAACATCAGAACACTAAATTTGTAAATATGTCACAAGTAATTATTTAAATACATTCCTAGATTTGTACTCACCACATATCCTTCCTTTGCACTAGAAGGAGAAATCCATCGTCTTGTATGTTTCTTATACCACACCATGTATTCTGAGCTATTGCTCAAGTGTGGTGTATCACACGCAGCTTGTGTCCATACACGATGAAGTCGTGATTGTCACTCCTGCATAAATTGAACGTGCATGCATGACTAGTCCATGTTATCCTTGCCTCTCAATGAAAGATCATGCAATTTCTCCGGATGAATAGGAGGCGCAGGAATGTGTTGGACCATCCCAAATTGTCGCATGACACGATCAGCGTAATGATACTCGACGATATGAAAATTAATCAATGGGACAGTTGACCTCCATACTTGTGAGTCCTCAAAACAGTAAGGAGGTAATGTAGGTAGTAACTCCAAGTATGGTTGCCATAGAAACTGCAAAACAACATAACAGATAAGTAGTTAGCAATTATCATTTATAATTACAATTTTTTTTATATAAATCTTCAATAAAATATTATAAATTAAGACTTACATCCTCTCTTTTTAAACGGTCAAAATACTTTCTATACTTCACAATTTTATCTTTTGTTTCCTCTCTAGGTTTATACAAGGCATAATTCCACCTGTTATAAAAATAAAAAAAAGCCATTAATACTTCAATATACAAATTAATTCTAAATATATTTATTCTTAAATCGATCACAAGTAATATAGTTACTAACCTTTCCCCTAGAGGAACATGAAATGTAGATAAAGGTGGATGAGGTGGTGCAAGAAATGGAAACCGATACCATGCCCATAATTGCACTAGAATACCTGAACCACCAATTTCCTTGTGATCATAATTCGTGCACACGCACAACTCCCTGTACATATTCACCAGCATGCATGACCCCAAACTCATTTGACCACAAGCATCCAGGTCTTCTAGGAAACTCAGATATCTGAGGGATACAAAAGAGCTAGAGTGATCAGTTAATAGATATCCCCCGATTATGCGTAAAATGAATGCTCTAGTATAGCGTTCCAACTGTTCCTGGCTATGTATATGCTCAGAAACATTAGAAAAGTGTCGGTCAATCCAGCTCATCCTCAATCGACCGCCAACAAGCATTGACTCAGGGGTTGTCATGCCAAGAAGGCGCTCCACAAGAGCTCCCCAATCCATAGTTGCGTATCTAGTAATGGGTGCCCTGGAGATCTTCAACCCAAGTAACATTGCAACATCCTCCAACGTGATAGTACACTCGCCGAAGGGCATGTGAAACGTGTGGGTCTCTGGTCTCCATCGCTCAACTAAGGCAGAAATTAAATGATTTTCCACAAGAAAGTAACTGATCTGCGCCACCCCAATAAACACAGCCCTCTGTAGAAGATCCTGAATAGTAGCTAGAATCTCAACACCACACAACTCTGATTGTGTTGCTTTCCTAACCTTCAAAACCCTATCTTCAGCTCCATTCCATATATGCTCAGATATATGGAATGGTTGAAGCCTTAATAACGAATCATCGATAGGTCCTGCATGAATCATCTGTGTAGACATCCTGATATAATTAAACTAACAAACAAACAAAATATTAAACTCAAAGAACCCATAACTTATAAATTTTCTAAATGCCTAAATGCCTAATTTAGTCTCTCATAATAATTAAAAATTTTCAATTAGGTCCCATACATATGTCACTGTCCTTGTCCTACTCATCCTTCATGAGTGCAATCAAAACGGCCCGTTCTGAAACCAGAACGGGCTATTCTCATTGCACAAAAGGTGTCTTAAATTGGGTTCTGGAACGGCCCGTTCCGAAAGAAAAATGGGTCGTTCTGATCCCTTTCATTTTTCAGTTACGCAAGCAACCAGAACGGCCCGTTCCGGATCTAAAATAATGACCAATATGATCAATCAGAACGGCCCGTTCTGATTGCAGAACGGACCATTCCAGACCTAGAAACCCTAAATGAATCAACCCATTACATTTTTAATTTTAATATTTAATTCCAAATTTAAATAAATAAACTACAACTCATACCTGGATAAGAACGTGCAAGAAAATAACTTTGTGGTGCGAAAAACTTTCTCAGAGTGCAAGGGGTAGAAGCGTTTTCTCAGAGCGCAGGGAGTAGAAGCGTTTTCTCAAAAACAAATTTTACCCGCTCGCACTCACCTTTTAACAGAAAATGGAGGGGGAAGGTGTTTAATATGGTGGCGCCTGGGTGGAGGCGTTATATGTATAATATAGATAGCGCCTAGGGTGGAGCGCATTGCCATGTGTCAGAACGTGCACAGATGGCGCCTGGGGGGAGGCTCCATCTAAAAAATGCCTCACCCCCTACTATTTCTTCTACACGTCAGTCATGTGCCACGTGGGCCCATACAAGGCGCATGGGGGGAGGCTTCTTCTGAAAAATGCCCAGCCCCCTGCATTTTCTCATCCATGTGGCGTCCTACTTGTCAAAAACTACCTATTCCGGTAATTAGTTATTTTTTTTAATTTATTTTGTGTATTTTTTTTTTATTTATCTGGGCCAAAAATCCCAATCATGCATTATCGCAACCCGAAAATTTCCGATCTTGCGACCTATGGTTTAGACATCCTTTTAAAGATCTCATCAATTAAGGAATACCCGGACACTAGACTAATCCTTAATTAATGGTTTTGAAAATAGGTTCTTGGAGTCGCCACCAATGTTTTACTCAAAACATTAGAAAAAGAAAAGTATTTTAAAAATTCAATAATGGCCTTGATAACCAGAATTGGGTTTGGGAGTCGGTTACGTATAGGGAAGGTATTAAGCACCCCTACAACGCCCTCAACCGGTACCCTATGATGAAGTTAATGTGATAAGAAATAATAAATTAAATATTAGGTCCCTTTTATGAATTACTATTTACATTCTTGAAATTTAAATTACACGGTTGACCCTAAAATGTTTACATGATTGCTTTTGTTATAATAATGTATATTAAAAATAAGAAATAAAAGAGAGGGAAAAAGATTAAATGAAATACCTCGTGGCAAGCTTTGTTAGATCTTCAAATATGAAAAATCTAGGTGCTTTGTGGCAACCTTTCACACTACAATTGCCTCACAATACTCAAGAAATACAATAAGAGAGAGAGAGAGAAATTTCGAGCTCGTAAAGAGTCCTGGACGAAATTTTGGGCCCCTGAGAACTTTGCCCAAGCTGTCTATTTATAGGCGTCATAAGGGTTTCTAGAACGGCCCGTTCCAAAACCGGAACGACCCGTTCTGGATCCGAACGTTGTGTGCTAATTTTGTAACTGGAACGGCTTGTTCTGAAATTGGAACAGCCCGTTCCAGAGATAATATTAACACATAATTGGCTAGGCTGGAACGGCCGTTCCAAACAATGATTTTTAGGGCTTTTTAATAACTTGGAACGGCCCGTTCCAGTTTGGGAACGACCCATTCTGGTTTAGGTTTTAGCCCTTTTCTGAGGAATTTGGAACAGCCCGTTCCAATATTGGAACGGCCCGTTCCAATCTTAGAACGCCCTGTTCTGATTTAGGAACGGCCCGTTCTGGTTTCGGAACGGCCTGTTCCAGCCTAAGATTTTTAGGCCTTTTGCTTGGTTTGGAACGGCCCGTTCCAAACTAGTTTTTAGGCTTTTTTTGGGGCTTGAAACGGCCCGTTCCGATTTTGGAACAGCCAATTCCAGGCCACTAAAATCATTTTATTTGGGCTTTAGGGAGCTCCTTCCCTTCATAACAGAGGTCCATTTCCTTGTTTGTATGCCCCGGACGAAATTGGGTGTCTACATGCATGTGACATCATTTCAAAATCTCATCTCAAAGGGCATATCCTATGAGTACATGTAGGCAAATAGAGCCACCGACCCCATATGCCTAACCAAACACTCTCAATTAAAGGGAAGATCCACTAGTGACTTATCGGGAGTAACAATTAGGTCCTCTCATACTCTTCATAGAGTTTAATTGGGGTTCCTAAACTAAGTTGACCCTTAAGGTTTAGTCCAAAGATCCTTAATATGTCCTTCTTGGCATAAAATTCCACATCGATACCTCAAGAACTCAGGTTTTGTGCATATGATGCATGTAACATATCAATATGTCTTATACAATTCCTAATATCTCAATTTTCATTACTCAACTTCAACTATTCCCATGGCATATCTCATTCCCCTAAAATGGTTCCTCTTAAGGTGCACCTTAAGTGCCTCAGGTTATCATTAATTCTAATATTCTCATGTATCGTGTTCAATTATATACATTGAAGCTTAGATCTATTGATTACATTCAATTATCAAATGTTTCTATTTGGTGAGTGATGCTTAGTGTGAGACCTTCCATGCTTAGCACCTTAAAAACAAAGAGAAATTGTTGCTCTCTATGGTTTTCAAGCTTAACACGAACTAGTTCACACTCATCATTAAAACCATTATAGCTTACAATGGTCCTTGCACATAGTGTGGACATTTTCACGCTTAACGTTAAAGTTTGTATAAATTTAGCATTAATTAGTGCTTATCATGTCCTAGAGCGCTTAACATACAAATAGGGATCACTCTCTGTGACTTTAACACTTAGTATAGGCTCATCAAGGTGATAAACTAAGCTTAACCAACTACTTTTCTAATAACTCCTATATTTGTTTATTAAGATTCACTAAATTTATGAGATAACATCCTATAAGATGCTATGAATATGGGTCTCGTACCAAGCACTAGGTTTATGAAAAACGTTACCTCTCTCTTAGGTCATAAACCAGATACATCTTTAGGAAAAACTTCAGGAAACTCTCTAACTAAGAAAATGTAACTAATCTCAAATTTTCTCTCAAGTTTTAAGGGAGTAAATATCATGTATACTTGGATATTTTCATAGATCCTACATTAGTTCGCTAGAAATCCAGTATATGAAACTAGAAAATCTCCTAATAGTTAAGAGTTACTTGATCCTCGAGTGCAAACCATTAATGAACTTCACACATTTGGATCTTTCCCCTACCACAAGGTTATCATGGTGGAAACATCATAACCACTCCTAAAATTTTGTTGCATACTCTATGTGATGGTAACTAGTGAAGAAGATGTTTGTTGTTTCTCCTCCTCTAGTAACCTTTGAAGCTCCCAATCTTTTCCATGAATTCAATACTCAATTTCAGACCAAAAAAGGTGGTGAATAGGAGAGAATGGATGTGTCACTTCAAAGCTTGAAGATGAGCAAGTGAGAGTCCTTGCCGAGAGGACCCTGAGCGATTGTCTCGGCGAGAATTGGGAACCGGTGAATTATGAAGACAACCATGGTGTGGCTTCCTTCTGGGATGAAAAGTTCAACCACAGTGCTCACATTCGTGGGACCGACTTGCTTGAAGGTGACTGAGACGATCTGGAGAAAATGAGTGCTTTCACTATCGCCAAAGGCGTCGAGTCCCTCACCAATCGTCTTTCGGCTCTCTCATTGGTGAATGAAGATAAAATTCGCGGCTTGGTGAAGGAGACTAAGTTGCAAGGAAAGAAAATCGCTTCTTTGGAGGATGGTCTGACTAAGAGTCGAGCTGACTTCCAGTGGGTGGCCAACGAGCGGGACAAATTATTGGAGGGCCGTCGCGCCTTCGAAGAAGAGAAACAAGCTTGGGCTGCCGAGAAGGTTGCGATGGAGGGCGAGTTGGCCGAGATGCGGATGGCTCGGGACAAGTCAACTGACGCTGCTAGTGTTTTTGAGAACGACTTGTCCCTGATGAAGCTTGAGGTGGAAAAACTTCATCATGACCTGCAGGCCGCGAAGGTGGACTCCTTGACAAAATTTGTTCAAGGCTTTGACGCAGCTACTTCCCAGATAAGATTCCTGTATGCCGATCTCGATATTGGTGGAATGGGTTACTTTAAGGAGATTGTGAATGGTGAGCTGGTTGATCCCCCCGAGGATGACTGAGTGTTGCCTTATAATGTTGCTTTTTCCTTTATATTTCTATGTATTTTGTTGATCGTTTGTATGGACTACTGTGAAAAATACATCAAAGCTACTACACCCAATAGCTAAACAACAAAACATCTAAATAGATCAGCTCCGTCTGCCAGCTACAGACCCTACACCAGCTACCAACCTATCCCTGCTCTGCTCCCATACATAGTATGATCATTGCAGTCCAAACATCATGGAGACAACAAAGGGTAAGCTAGTGTAAAGAAATCAACATACACATATAAATATATGAATGGAAACATCTACAGCTATCAACACACCCGCACAGCTTATACTACACCACAACAATTCAACAATATTAGCACCGCTCAGCAGTTATAACAGCACCACAATAATGGCTAACAGCACCGACATAGCGGCTATAACAGCACCACAATAGTGGCTAACAGCACCGGCATAGCGGCTATAACAGCACCACAATAGTGGCTATAACAGCATACAACTCAGCATTTCACAGCACAACACAACACATCAGTATACAGCATAGCACAACAAATCAGCATACAACACAGCTAAGTAGTATTCAACACAGCCTACTACTCACAACTCAGCTCATCATTCTAGAGCACAACAATATC